ATAAAATATCTCCTTTTGAAGTGGACTTTGAGCTTTGTAACTTTGCAGATCTTTTTTATGCTCAAACAGCAACATTATAGACTAACTAAAGTTGAAAACGTGAAAAAGCATAATAGGACCTCTTTAAGTTACAACTATGGGTTTTCTTAAAGGGATAGTTCATCCTAAAATGAAAATTCTGTCATTAATTACTCACCCTCATGTCTTTACGAAGCTACAAGAATACTTTTTGAGCGCAAAGAAAACAAAAATAAAAATTTATTCAACAATTCTTCTCCCCCGAGTTACGTCTTCCGCCATTTTAGACTATCACAACACATACGCACGCTTTTCCCTAAGCATAAACAACGCTGATTACGCAGATTACGTTCATGCGCACGCTTTCTTGTGTGTGTGTGTGTGTGTGTGTGTGTGCGCGCGCAGTGAGTGGGTGGATAAAGACTATGCACCGTGGGCCAAGTCTTGTTCTCTGTAGAGTGCTGGTGCGAGCAGGTGTGAATGAGGAGTACAAAAGCATTGAGGGTGATTACTGTTTGTTTTAGAAACTCATTTGTCACCGAATTTCTGCTTGAGACAAGCTCTGAGGACTCAAACTAATTCCAGGCTCCTGTATTTATAAAGCAATCAGCCATGGAGTGTGATGTTTTTGCTAAAACCCTGTAGTGGTGAACCGCTGGACCTCGCTGGTCATTAACAGTCTCTGCATATCCACGGCTTGCCTTGCTCAGTCTTTAAAAAAAACTTGAGCTTTTCAGTTCCTTGAGGCTCAAAAACTATACTTATTTGACCTAAGGGAAATGGCCTCTTTTCATCCCAGAGTATTTTGAAGTTCGTAGGCTAAAGTATGCACAGAAACTTGTCTCAGAAACTGAATCTTCTCAGGCAGACTTACAAGCAGTATTAATTTCGTTGACGAATAATTTTCGCCAACGACATTTTTTCACTGACGACAACGAGACGATAACGAACTAAAACTCTTTTTGAATGACAAAAACTATGACGTAAATCTATTGACATTTTCGTCAATAACATTTCCGTCACACGCTTGAGGTATTCGGCCAATCACAACGCACTGGATAGCTGGCCAATCACAGCACACCTCGCTTTTCAGACCGATGAGCTTTGTAAAAATCGACGCGTTTCTGAAAGGCGGGGCATAGAGGAGAAACAATAATGTACAGTATGTGGAAAATAATGTGTTTTTTGAACCTTAAACCGCATAAACACATTTCAAATACACAAAATAATGTTCTTTTTAGCAGCACCATATGACCCCTTTAATATCAAACCTATATAATGAGTTTGGAAATTTTAGAGAAATGCTTAATAAATGCACTGTAACTAAACCCATTAGATTTTAGCCGACTAAATTTACTGTAGATTTAGTCAACTAAAATCTTATATTTAGTCGACTAAAACTAAAAACAATTCAGATGACTAAAATATGACTAAAACTAAATGGCATTTTAGTCAAAAGACTATGACTAAAACTAAATCAGAATTTGCTGTCAAAATTAACACTGCTTACAAGTAGCATTTCAAAGTAAGAATGTGGTTTTTGAAGTTGTGTGTTTTCTAGACTTGTACGGATCCCACCTGCTTCTTTGCTGGCCTCATTTTCCTCAGTGGGCTGGGAGGGGTCATAGTAGTCAGCGCTGTAACGGAAGGCCACTGCATTATAGGTGCCTTCATCGGCCAAGGCTTCGCTCAGCCTTTTATACTCCTCCTCTGCAAATAGAAAGAAAGATTCACAGGAAAAATTCACATAAAAAAAATAAATAAAAATAAAAGAACTTCACTTCTTAATTAACTGCAGTGCTCATCGTCCTCAAACCTTCTCTTTCTATTCTTCTCCACAGCAGATTCAAAAGTTTCAAACATTGTAAAGTTGGCTGTTGGATTAATGGATTTATGTTGGAAAATATAATGGTCGTTTTAAAACTGCTCCAACTAACAATAAAAGGGTTTAAAAAAACTGATTAAACAAATCATTACTGAACTAGCCTAATTCAGATAGAAATGCTAAACTTTAAAAAATATTTTTATATCCTTAGGTGAGGTTTTTATTTTTGTTTTACATACACCGTTCAAAAGTTTGGTCCTTTTTATAATGTTTCTGAAAGCCTCTTACATTCACCAAGGCTGAATTTATTTGATCAAAAACACATTCTGTGATGACAAACACTCCTGTGATGACAAAGCTGAATTTTCAGCAGCTATTACTCCAGTCTTCAGGGTCTAATATGTTCATTTGGTGGTAAAGTAACATTTTTCTCATAAAAGTTTTTTCAGGATTATTTGATGATTGCAGTGTTCAGAAGAACAGCATTTGTCTGAAATAGAAATCTTTTGTAACTAATATTTAGATTTCTCTTTCTTACTATAGATAATCTATAGCAAAAATGCACCACAAAAACTGTAATAATTCTACACTAAAACTGAAAAACTGGAACTGAAACCCTCATATATTCACACACCAATCCACACATCCAAACAGCCGCAGTGAGTTCTCATCTTTAATGATCTCACTACAGGATCACAACTACTACATCTGCAATAGAGCACAAGGACAGTCCAATATTAAACCATCACAATGCTTTATTACAGTTTATAGGATGTTAATGTAGACAGATTGATAAAAGTTTAATGAGGTTAGGTCTCCCCCTGAAGGGCGAATCCACATGATGACTACAGAGATAATGACTATGGCGTACTGACACTATCAGCAAAGGACATCATAATTCACTCCCACTTACTGCGCACCTCTGTTTAAAGATTGTTCAACTGCAAATTGAGCCGATGAGCATAATTTTGGACTTTTTTAACCTGTTGATGCATATACGGAGTTATAAGAATGTGACATACTGATTTATCTCCATTTGATTCATCAGAATATTTCTAGGATTAAGAAGTCACGAAACAACATTCTGAAAACAAAAGTTGAAACCCAATAGTTCCGGCTCTAAAAAGTGATTTGGATGAGCCATGATTGATGCCCTTGTAAAATATTTCATACACACAAACAATATTTTTGAATGATATTTCAGTGCATCCAAAACAATACATCGCTTATTGCTTTCTTAGAACACATATGTGACCCTGGACCACAAAACCAGTCTTAAGTCACTGGGGTATATTTGTAGCAATAGCCAAAAATACATTGTATGGGTCAAAATTATAGATTTTTCTTTTATGCCAAAAATCATTAGGATATTAAGTAAAGATCATGTTCCATGAAGATATTTTGTAAATTTCCTACAGTAAATGTATCAAAACTTAATTTTTGATTAGTAATATGCATTGCTAAGAACTTCATTTGGACAACTTTAAAGGCGATTTTCTCAAGACTTTGATTTGTTTGCATCCTCAGATTCCATATTTTCAAATAGTTGTATCTCGGCCAAATCTTGTCCTATCCTAACAAACCATACATCAATTGAAAGCTTATTTATTTATGTATAAATATAAATTTTGAAAAATTGACCCTTATGACTGGTTTTGTGGTCCTGGGTCACATTTTTGATAATATCTTGTGTTAATCAGGTCTGGCGTTACATAAATGTGCCTCAATGAATTAAACAGTTTAATTGCTGGGTGTAGTCAAGGGACAAACGTCATTCTGAACAACATTCTTAAACATTTCAGAACAAGTTTTAACCGACACATCTACATCAATAATAACATCTACCATGGTAGCCAGTCTGGTGACCTAGTATAAACCAACAGCAACAACACTTTCACATTCAATGGACTAAACTTATTTGTTTTATACCAAAACAAACTCAGCCATGTCAGTTTTACGCCCTTCACAGTATACAGAACAATTACAAGTACCTTTCACTATTCTGGAAATTTAATTAAATCACAAATATATCAGAGGAAAGCACTCAAAGCCTGAGCGCACCAGTCTAAAGTCGATAACCATGAAAAACAGAGTTTACTGAAGAGCTCTGGTTGTCCACCTAAGCGAAACAAGCTAGATGAATTATTTCAGACTGAAAAGGTCAGTTTTCCCCCCCACTGCCACTATGAAAGTGCCTCTTCATGCATTTCTACTTTTATAAATATATATGCCTCTCAATGAAATAATCTCACACAGGGATAAGAAAGACATAGGTTGCAGAACACGTTTTCCATGATTAATAAAAGAAGTTTATAGTTTATGAGTATATAGAAAATTAGTAGAATGGGTTCAGTGGGTTTCAAAAGTCTGAAATGGCTAGTGAAAATGATTCTATTTTACATTTTTTTAATTGAATAGGTTAGCAGACGTTAACAGAACATTAACTCTTTCCCGCAATTGACAAGATATCTCGTCAATTAAGAGACAACGCTTCCCCGCCAAAGATGAGTTTTTACGGCAATCTGTGTTATAGGTGTATTACGCTAAGAAAAGCCCTAGCGCATGCCCAGAATGAGTTCCGGGACTTCCGGGTCTGAAATACAAAGACGAAGAAAATGTAGATCATATCACATATAAAAATGAAGAGGTATACAGCTGAACAGGCACTGGAGGTGTTGATGGACTCGGACTCCGATCACTCATGTTTTGACCATTTTGAATCTGATCGGGACGAAGTAGTGAGTGAGGGAAATGCCCATCTATCTATATATATATATCTATATATCTATA